TTTTTTTTGCTAACTACATTCATTTATTAATATTTCTTTTTTTACTTTTTCAATTTATTTTCTCTTCCAAGAAAATGGACCAGAAATATTGCCAACAGATTTTCTTCCAATAAAATGCTCTCTAGAAAAGCAATGTCCCATTCCCTAAAAAAATACAAAATTAAATATTACTTTTTTTAAAAAAATTTTTTAAATAAACTACACTTGTAGCAATCACAAGTAACAAATGTATATATGAATGCACTCATGCATTTTTTTTTTTTTATATATCTGTAAATCCATTAATTAGATGATTCCTGATTAATCACATGTATCACTTATTTGTTGAAAAAAGCGAAATATACATTTCAAAAACATCGGCTTACATTTCTGTAGCATATTAGTAACTGCTCATTAAACCGTTTTATGGGGTTTAATAAGCAGGTGAACAATTATTGACCTTAATGTCAGGAGGCTGTCGTTTTGCATATGCATGTATTTTATTTATAAGGATATTCATATTAAAAAAACAAATGTGTTTATCTAACCCTCATCATGCATGTGTATTTAACCTGCTTTGCCTGATCCTTTCAAAACAATGTCACTTAATTCTAAGGAAACATCTGTTTCTATTCCTGTAGGTTTTAATCATCAGGACTACTCGTCGTAAACAACATCTCTAAAAATGAACACCGGAGAGAACGCTGTTCAGATGAGTATTGCAAGTAACAAAAGTGTCTATGATTTGTACTATGATTTTTTTTTTTATATCTGTAAATCCATTAATTAATTAGATGATTCCTGATTAATCACATGCATCACTTATTTGTTCAAAAAAGCGAAATATAAATTTAAAAAACATCGGCTTACATTTCTGTAGCATATTAGTAACTGCTCATTAAACCGTTTTATGGGGTTTAATAAGCAGGTGAACAATTATTGACCTTAATGTTAGGAGGCTGTCGTTTTGCATATGCATGTATTTTATTTATAAGGATATTCATATTAAAAAAACAAATGCGTTTATCTAACCCTCATCATGCATGTGTATTTAACCTGCTTTGCCTGATCCTTTCAAAACAATGTCACTTAATTCTAAGGAAACATCTGTTTCTATTCCTGTAGGTTTTAATCATCAGGACTACTCGTCGTAAACAACATCTCTAAAAATGAACACAGGAGAGAACGCTGTTCAGATGAGTTGCTGTGAAACTTGGGTACATGCTTAAAAAGATATGATGGGTAGGAACAACCTTCCAAATACGCTCAAGTTCGCTGACTGTGTTTGTTTTACAACACCTCAGAAAGTGGCAGCAAAGTGAAGGAAAGGCCATATTTCATCTGACAGACCTATCAAATGTTTGTTAAAGAGTTTTTTGACTGCTTACAGTTCCCGCTACAGTGTTGCAAAATACAGATATGCTTATTCTTTATTGTATCTCTCATACTAACCCCCCACATATCTTTCGGATATGTCTAACTACACTTTATCCATGTGGTCTCAATTCTCCAAATGTGTTGTCCTTTGCCCTGCTTTACTGGTCTAGTCTAGTTTGTTACTTTGCACACCATTTTGTAGATTTAGAAGATGCCATGTTGCCCTACAGCAGAGCGGAGCTCGAGGACACACTCTCCATTATCAGTCATTGTAACACCTGCAGTCCATCTGCGGGGAACTATTTACAGGAGCTTTAGCACAAACGGCCTGAGATTTAGCACTCTATTGTGTATGTAGTCTGGGAGATTTCTTGTTTATTGTACCTTTGTTGTCCCTAAAGCAAAAAAAAAAAAAAGCATCTCTTTTGTCCTTAAACTCAGTTTGTTATTAATGTCTAAAATTTATTTTTAAACTGTGCTCAACTATTGCTTTCGTGTCTTCAGACAGCTTTTTGCATAAAGAATGTATTAATAGATTTCTTTTGAGCAGTGGACTTGGGTTCTTTTCACAAGTGAGATTGTATTTTGATTGCCCATTGTAATTTTAAGGTCATTTTGATAAGTTTATAAAAAGCCAAAGGAATCAGGCTGCAAAACATCTTGCATGCCGCAATGAAGTAGTTTTCCCTTTTGTGTTGCATATGCCCTATGTTAAATACATCGGCCAGCTGGCCTCCACAAATGACTAATTCATGAACAAATCTCACTGAGGAGAGGATATTATACAATGGTTCACTGTTACTTGAAGGAATAGTTCACCCAAATGTGAAAATGTGCTCACTCTTAGGCCCCACGATGTAGATAAATTTGTTGGAATAGATTTGGATAAATTTAGCATTACAGCACTTTCTCACCAATGGATCCTCTGCAGTGAATGGGTGCCGTCAGAATGAGTCCAAACAGCTGATAAAAACATTACAGTAATCCACATGACTCCAGTCTATCAGTTAATGTCTTGTGAAGCAAAAAGCTGTGTGTTTGTTAGAAACAAATCCATTTTAAGGTATTTTAACTTTAAACTGTTGCTTCTGGTCAAAATAGTCCATAAATCCATAATAACACTTCCTCCAGTGAAAAAGCCCATCCCCTGTTGTCCTCTCACACCAAAATCCATCCACATATTTGTTTAGAACTGTTTTCGCTTGTAAACGGTGCTTGATTTATGCAGATTCCTCTCCTGATTCAGATGAGACAACCTTTTCAATGGAGAAAGCAATATTATGGATAGAGGACTCACATTTTAGCCGGAAGCAACGGTTTTAAGTTAAAAATGTCTCAATGATGGATTTGTTTATTACAAACATGCAGATTTTCACTTCACAAGATGTTAATTGATGGACTGTGTGGATTACTTGTGGATTATTGTGATGTTTTTATCAGCTATTTGGACTCTAAATCTGACGGCACCCATTCACTGCAGAGGAACCATTGGTGAACAAGTGCTGTAATGCTATTCTGATTTCTGCAAGGATGCATTAAATTAATCGAAAGTTTCAGTCAAGACTTTTTCATTATTTCCAAACAATTTAGTTCAAATGAATGCTGTTCTTGTAAATGTCCCATTTATGAAAGACTCTTGAGAGAAATTTTACAGTTTCCACAAAAATATTACATAGCACAGCTGTTTTCCACGATGATTATAACAACAAGAAATGTTTCTCGAGCACCAAATCAGCATATTAGAATGAATTGCGAAGGATCATATTGTAGCAAACGGCATCAACAATATCATTGCCTTGTTAGAGAGCTCAGGGTATTTAGAAGACCCATGCAACCAGAACTGCTTTTTGTTTAGTTGTGATTAAATCAGATCCTTTTGATGAGGTTGATGTTGTGCTCTGCTCCTCTTTTACAGAGCATCCGTTGATACAATTTGGAATAGGCGGACAATCATCATTGACTGAACTAAATATAAGCAAGCCATCTCACTTCGCTATAATGGAAAAAATAGTTTTGATATATTACAACCTGATATTATGAGACAAAAATATACCCCGCAATACCTCTGCGGTTCACACTTTGGAAAACAGTGGTCTTTGGATTAAAATGTGTAGTTATCACTTCATTCAGCTACAATAGACAGGAAGTGTGAAACGTGACGACTGCAAAAATCAAAAAGTCAATGTATGAAGCAGGAATAATGACTTGTTTACATGCCACAGAGTTTCAAATGACAAGGACGACCTGCCTGTTTGATAAAACCTACATTCTCTAAAATCAGAAGTAGCTACGGCTGACCATACGGTACAGTACATAATTTCGTCCTTGTAAATCACACAGACATCTCTGTAGAAAGAGATTTAATTATACTTATGAAAGAGTCCAGTCAAAACAGTCTAGACTAGACACAATTAAACGCACCAGAGTTTATAGTTCATAATATTTTGTAATTTCATTAAAATGCATTAACTGTCAGCTGTCACTTTCTGTAATTGTCAGTCATAAAGTTCACAGGGAAACTATCATAATAATGTTGTGGCTTTTTGCTTAGCTGCTCAATGCACAAACTGTCCTAACAGGTTCTGAGATGATCAAAGTTTAATGTCCAGGAAATGCTTTTAAATGCCCCAGCTGGTCACAAATAGCTTTGCTGAAATTAGGCATTTTTCACCGCATGGGTCCCATGATGTGTTCTTAACACCTTCGAGAAAGCACTTAAACAAACTGTGATCATTTCCAGAAATATTGCTGCTATATCAAACCAACTGACACATGAGAAGACCTTCACAATCCTCAAAGTAAAAGTGTTTACCAGAGCTGGAGGAATCACTCGGCACTTTTACTCCACAAATTTCATTTTCCGTGGCAGGTTTCCCTCTGTACACCCAGAGGAACATTTTATTGCTCAGGTTGCTCTTTCATGAAGTTCTCAGATATTCTTCTGTTTTTTTTTTTTTTTTTTTTAAGTATCAACTATGTCTCAGATGTTTCTCCTAAAATTCCTTAGGAAAAATAATTTGTCTTAAAAAGACACAAATTATGCATATCATAGCATATATAAAATGGCACTGGGAGAAGTTCATGAAGAAATGTATGAGTTCATATTGGAATCTCTGATTTTTGATTATAGACCTTGATATTAAAGGAATAGTTCACACAAAAGTGAAAGTTTGCTGAAAATGTACTCCCCCCTCAGGCCATCCAAGATGTAGATGAGTTTGTTTTTTATTGGAAGAGATTTGGAGAAATTTAGCATTACACCACTTGCTAACCAATGGATCTTCTGCAGTGAATGGGTGCGTCTCGTTTGTATCGGGAGAAAATTTATCCACATTAAGCAGCAACTGTCCAGTGTTTGTTTCTTACAAACACATAGCTTTTCGCTTCTCAAGACATTTACTGATAGACTGGAGTCATATGGATTACTTGTGGATCATTGTGATGTTTTTATCAGCTGTTTGAACTCTCATTCTGATGGCACCCATTCACTGCAGAGGATCCGTTGGTGAGCAAAGAAGAATCTTCCGATGAAGAATCTAACTTCTCTACATTTTGGATGGCCTGAGGGTAAGTAACATTTCGCTAAATTTTCATTTTTGGGTTAACTATTCCTTTTTTTTTTTCTTTTTTTTTAGAAGATTAAACCTACTAATGGCGCTTTTCCACTGTGTGGTACGACTCTGCTCGGTACGGCTCGGCACGGTTTGCGTTTCTACGGCAGTTCAGTACCGCTTTAGAGTGGGCGGGATTATTCACATGTCGTTATAGTTGCGCCCAGTGGCGTAACTACAGACAGTGCAGGCAGTGCAGCCGCACTGGGGCCCCGCAGCGCACGCGGGCCCTGCCCACATTGCAAGCGACTATATTAATATAAATGAATAATAAACGTATTAATAATAAAATACAATTAGTACCGAGATTCTTCACAGAACTTAATAAATATATAAATTTGCGTTAATAGTGTGTGTGTGCTTCAGTGGTCTAGTGGTAGAACTTTTGTCAAGCATTTCTGAGGTTTTCCGATGAAGAATCTAACTTCTCTACATTTTGGATGGCCTGAGGGTAAGTAACATTTCGCTAAATTTTTCATTTTTGGGTTAACTATTATTTTTATTTTTTTTTTTATTTTTTTTTTAGAAGATTAAACCTACTAATGGCGCTTTTCCACTGTGTGGTACGACTCTGCTTGGTACGGCTCGGCACGGGTTGCGGTTCTACGGCA